TATTAGGCGTATCTTAACTCTGAAAGCGTCCCTAGGCCATCATCCAATTCGAGAGTATACTCCTTTCCATCAATCCCTGGTTCTTTTCCTTCCGAAGACTCTCCACTTCATAAATACCTTGCAAAAAAATATTTCAGAATTTGGAAAAATAATACAATTAGACGAAAGAAAGACCTGGCAAAGGCAGTGGAGGTTTATGAATTTAATAGGAAAGCAAGTTGCTTCCTGTTATGGATGGAGATGTCAAAGAAACGTCGAGTAAATAAAATTATGATTTGTAAACTCTGTAACTTTTTTCTTTCTAAATTATTAATAACTTTATTATTATTATTATTATTTAGTACCTAAAAAAAATTCTGCAAAGGCAATCAAGTTTTTCCGCACGAGAAGAAGATTTGCCACCGTACAGAATATTAAAAGATAAACCTGGTGCTCCGGTATGATTTATTTTAAAAATTATATAATTTGTGATTTAAATAAACACCTACTGACGTTTCTTTCAAATAGCACAGAATACGAATTCAACAAAAATTATGTTTTGCCAGTCCACTCGAAGATATATTTACATATGATTCTGATGAAGATCAAATTAACTATATAACAATTGTTCCGGATGATGTCATCATCTACGATGAATATGAAGTGGATGAAAAAATGGTAGATAAAATTGCTGGTTTTTATGAAACGAAATATCTACGCTATGCGCAAAGTCATAAAGTTTGGGATGCATGCTATAACCTATACAAGTATGGTTTCAGAGCTCAAGATCCCGTAATAAGAAAATACTTATTGCGTTTAATTTGATTAAATATATATCTCTGTTTTGTACATATGTTTTTTATATTATACCATATAGTTGGCGTGTTGATATTATTATTTTTTTCTCATATTAGATATTAGATATCGTTGTTCACATATAGAATAATATAAATTGTACGTTATAAATAAGCTATTTTCGATTATGATATTTATATTATCGCTACTTTTTACGAGATGCGAATTAACATAAACATTAAAATGAATGTAATACAAACAAATACTACAACTCCCCACACCAGCCATGTAGTTTTGCCGGATTGTGCAGCATACGCTCCCAATCTGGCCCCTTCCTTTTTTAATCGATCTAAATTAATACCAAGACTGCTTTGGGCCTCGTCTATTGTCTGTTTTTTAATATATAGATATTAATTTTATAAAACTTAAACGTGGTAATTTTAACACACACAAAAAAAAAGCGAACCTTCACATCTTTGGCCAATATATCACCAAACGTCACTGAATTCATTTTTAATTTTCCTGCCATTTTTACTAATTCATT